GGGGGGAGGGGGGAGAAATGTAAAAACGTTGTAGAATATAGTCACTTTAGTTGAAGTAATTTGCATTACCATTAAAAAAAAAATTTGTGGAGATAACACACCTGAATATTAATTTGTACAGTGAGTGTGTGATTTTTGACCCACCTAAGGCATGAAATGACCAATGTTCGGTTTTAGTAATTTTTTATTCATATGTGCTGATACAGGGTCGTACTGACCTGCAATGACGCAAACGCTTACATAAAACCATCCCCTTTGGCCCAAACAGCTGTCAAAGCAATGACGTTGAGAAATAAAATGCATATCATTCTTCCATAATAACAGTAAATCACATTAACCCTCCTGTTACATGGGACTCGAGCATCATAATTTAATCAAAAAGCTGTTCAAATAAAACAATGAGTTCAGAAGGAAAAAAAAAGTTACAAAATACATAACCTCAATGACATAATCATCACCCTGGCCTTTGATGACTACTACTTGTTTCTTCCATGTTCGATTTTCATCTTATACAATGTCTAATACTGCGCGATCACACAATGATGTACTTTAATGATAGTCCAACTCAAGAAGGCCTAATACATTCTAGGGTGATTCTGACCCGGCCCCCTTTCTCAAAACCCAACAAACCCTGACAGGAAATGAACACAATGCTGAACTAAATCACTGGGTGTTTCTTAAAGAAACTTGCTTGTATGATAAGGCGGTGATTCTTCTAGAAGACCGGTTAACACCCACCCATCTGCTGAACGCTGGCCCACGCGGCCCCTCTGGGTAAAACGTAGATAATATGCAAACATACAGTCAAAGGCATGCCTAAAAGAAGCTATAAAACAAGCTACAGCTTGCTTCAGATTGGTCCAACTTAAACATGTAAAAATGCCCTTCTGTACAGAGTACAAAAAACTACACAGCTCAGGCACGACTCGCATGTTAGTGTTTTGTGATCAGTGTAGGAACACTGTTTTTAGGAGTCTGTATTACCCAGAGCTCTGTGTTCTGGTGTAACTCTGCCTGACCGAGCCGTTGTTAAAGACTGACAGACAGCTGGTTAACCGTTAACAACATGAACCTCCCCCACTGGGCTCATGTCACAGTCTAGCATATTCTCAAAACTACGATACAGGAGCTGCTTTTAGCACAGACACACTCCAAGAGACCAAATAATACTACGTTATTAGTGTGTAGATGTTGGTTTAACAGCTCTGTGCCGGTTCCCTCTCTGTGTTTATGACGGGGTTTTTTTTTACCCCTTTTCCACCGACACGGTGCTGGTGGCCAATCTGGCCCACACATTGCCTTCTAAGAAAAAAGCTAGTTCAGGGCTCCACAACTGCTGTTTCAATCTCAAACCGAAAACACTGAAATGTCACACGTAACAGCCTATAATAATTGTAATTTTGCTGTCAATCTGAATGAAATGATTTTAATAAAACTGATATTTCCAATGTTGTTGTAAAATGCTGATACTCTTGCACTTAAGATTATTGCATTGCACTGGACTATATGTGACCTTGGACCACAAAACCAGTCATAATAATAGAATAAATAAGCTTTCCATTGATGTATGGTTTGTTAGAATATGACAATATTTGGCCGAGATACAGCTATTTGAAAATCTGGAATCTGAGGGTGCAAAAAAAAACGAAATATTGAGAAAATCACCTTTAAATTTGTCCAAATGAAGTTCTTAGCAATGCATATTACTAATCAAAAATTACGTTTTGATATATTTACTGTAGAAAATTGACAAAATATCTTCATGGAACATGATCTTTACTTAATGTCCTAATGAGCTTTGGCATAAAAGAAAAATCTATAGTTTTGACCCATACAATGTATTTTTGGCTAATATACCCCAGCGACTTAAGGCTGGTTTTGTGCTCCAGGGTCACATATTATTTAGCATAATAAATGTTTAGTCTGAACTAACTATTATACATTTGTATCTTTAATCATATTGCTGTTGCTATCATTTTCCACAATAATCACTCAACCCTGTCCTTTACAGTAATTATACCATGGTTAAAGGAGTTTTAGACACTCTTCTTCATGTAGTGCATGGCCTCTTGTGGCTTATTGCTTTAATTTACAAAGGTTGTGTGTATGAAAAGATTAAAATGACTTCTTTTACAACATAGCCAGCTCATGATAAAGATACTGAATTTATGGATGGTAAAATACGCTCTCAAAATGACTAAATGTGTGGTCACATAAAAAAAAATTTCCACCAATTTCCTGCCTATCTATGATTAACCCAGAGGGGGTGCACGATAAAATGGTACACCATCAAAAAAGATCCACTGTCCAAAGTCAATAGCGTTGTGATGCACAAAGTACCCTTCACACAGAAGTCACTTTTGAAGCATGCACTATTCTGTAGGTCAACACTTTAAATGCGTGTGCAAAATTCCTATTGAAACGATTGGATTTTGCCGGTGAAATTTTGCAAAGGTAAATGTAACCGCACCTTAAAAGACCTAGAAGCACTGTTTGTTTGTAGACAGGTTATGTAGTAACATACTCATCATCATTCAGCTCTCAAGTCAGTGGAAATGTGGGCCAGTTGTAAAATACATTCACACATCCTTTTAACACAAGCACCATTTCAATGGAAAAGGGTCTAAGTAAGCTCTGTCAGGATTGTCCCTAGTTCGGTGGCTGTGGTGGTGTTAAAATGCCTCTGTGTTACAGGAAGGTGTTGATCGCTCAGTGACTGAGGGATCCCAATAAAACATGTCATTTAACTCCAGGGGCTCTCTTTGCCTGTCAGACGTGGTGTGGCCGAGCAGGTGGGGTGCTTTGCCAAGGGCTGATAATTCATGTTGTTTTGACAGCAGTGAATGACTTGTTCATATCTCTCTCACCCTTTTTATTATATCTATCCTACTATCTGGACATCAAGTCAACATGTGGCTCTAAAAGCGACGCTCCTGTGCTAAAGTACGGGATGGCTCGTGATCAGAGGTCACGACTCGGGCTCTCTGGTACCAAGCCCCAGCTGAGGATTGGGTTGACAGCAAGGTGACAGACTGTCAGATCACAGGAGGGCAGACCGGTGCGATGGCACCTATGTGGAGAGGGACAAGAGACGGGTGTCTGGAAAGAGGACCTTTCATAGTTCCTCTCGGTCTCATAGGCCCATTCAGAATCTGCGCTTATGGTAAACTCAAGATTTCTGCAGAATTGGAACACGCGTCAATCACAAAGTTGAAGACATCTCCAGTCTCTTGAGTTCCATTATTAAAGACCCCATGACAGTTTTGAGACGTTTTGTCCACGTCAAGTGGTTTTGTACTCTTAAACATTTAACTTTTAGAAGATACACATTTAAAATGTACTTTCTGTATTGAGAAAACCAACCAAATATTCTGACGACTCATCTTGCACCTGTGGGTATACACAAATTTTTGTCCAATCAAAGAACAGGGGTGCCCAAACCTGTTCCTGGAGATCTACCTTCAGCTCCAACTCTGATCCAACACACCTGAACCAGCTAATTTAGATCTTCAGGAGCACTTGATAATTACAGACGTTGTGTTGTGACGTTACAGTGTGTTGGAGCAGGTTTGGAACTTATATTGGCTTCACGTGCTATCGTAATTATTGTAAATATGAGTTTCCTAATCGTAAATTGGACGTGATCGCCTCTCAAGTCGTATTTACTACTGGGAAATTTTTTAAACATTTTTTATTACCAGAGTTTCCGAGTTGGGCAGGCCATAAACTTTAAACATGTTGGAGGGGACAACCATTGCTGCCGTCTACGATATTCTCAGAACTACATCACTTTGTCTAGTCACTAAAGTAGTATATTTATAGGGTATATATGAAAGATCATTTGAAGCATACTGAATGTCCCATTGTAAACAGTGAAACTAGCATGTATTTCAGCTAAATTCCAGAATTGTCAGCAAACTATCTACCGCAGTGAATGTTTATATGATTGTCAACCAATGGGATTGCTACATTTTATTCTTTCTGACAACAAAGCACTTGAATGGGACAAGCTCATAATCACAACTTCTTAAGTGAGAAATAGGAAATTTATGATCGCATGTAAAGGCAGCAAGTCTACAGTCTGATCTAGAATTTGAATGCTCTTCCCTTTAATTCCATCTGTCATCATGGTTGATGACTGATGTAAACTAAAGGCTATTGGTTATATAAAAATGGTGGATATATCCAGACAGAACTTCTTGTGTCAAAAGGAAATTCAAAATAGGAAAGAAATCTGCATTCGTCAAGCGATTTCAGAGGTTCTTTTCATATTTTGGAAAATTTCATTCAGCTACCTATAAAAGTGTAGCGCTCGGAGCTCAACCGAACACATTTTATCATATTTAAACTCATTCCGCATAAAAATGGGGAAAAAAGCTGGCAGATTCCACCTGGGCCTAGTCATCCGGTGTCTACTCATGCACTCTTTGCCTCTCCATTTGAATGTGAAGACATGAAAACGAGGCCGATATGGAGAGCGGATCAGGGTGACTCCTTTCATATCTAAAGAACAGCGAACACAAGTGCTCTCAAAGAGCGAGAGGGGGGAAAGACAAAGGGAGAAACCCAGAGAGCGGGAGCATGGTGGGTTGACTCCGCTAGATTATAGCTCTTAGTATTATTATGATAATCAGGGGTTGTATGGGGATTTTGGAGGTGGTAGCAGTCCCTCGGAGCAGGCTTTAGTCTAGCAGTTTACTACGGCGCATAATCACTGTCATTATAACCATATTCAACACTGTACTATATTATCCCTTCAGTCCCATGTAAACAAAGCCTTTGACTAACACAACAAATCTTCGCACATTAATGCTCAGCTAGGAAAGCCATGTAGAAAAATTTTGGTGAGCTAAGAACGGTATAGGAGGGGAAATGTGGAAGAAGGGTAGATGGGAAATAAAAACGAGCAAGGGCACAAAAAGGAGAGATGCACAAAACGTGACGCACATTGGACGTCTCCAGGGATGGAGGGAGAGAGGTAAACAGCCTCTCCCGCGGGCCGGTGCAGAAGGGTATAAGGGGGTAAAACAGCAGCGATGTGGTGCCAGGTGGGCAGAGGGCCATGAGTCAGGAGCAGATCTCCTTAGAGGGCATCCTAAGCTCTAAGAGCCAGTTTACAATAGTGTATGACAATACATTCAAACGGTCAAACCTGCTGACCAGTTGAAGCTGGTCCTACTCATCAACATGGAACATTTTTGCAAGAAAAGCAAGTAAAAAAATGTTCAGGTCATTGCTTTAAAGAAAAGCTGATCATACATGCCTCGGGCTAAATATAGGACCGGGTGTACTAACCACAGCACACCGGTGTACATACTGACCCTGTGTCAATCAGTACAAGTTACCATGCAATGGATTGCACACACGTCCCCTTAGAAGACTTACAGGAGTGAGAGATAGAGAAAGAGAGAGTGCAGATGGTGCTTGGATTGAATGATAGGATGTTGATTCGGGATGCACAATGTTCTCCACATTTGACAGTGGGTGCAGCAGACCTTCTCTTAACCAGCTGTAGACTTGTGTAGTTTTGACATCACCTCTTCCTCTGACATTAATCATGGATACTCACCCCTGCTCTCTCTCTTTCTCTATATGGCTATGTTTGGAATGGCATACTAGCTTATTACTTACTGCATAGTATACAGTGTATTTAAAAAACATTAGTGAAATAATGTTCCGAATTCAGCTTATGTTGTTTACCACTCATTCTGGCAAAATTTACTAGGTAATTTGGGAGAAAATGTGCATACTGTGCAAAGAATATATTGTATATACTGCAGCCAGAGTAGTATGCTAGTATGCTTTTTGAAATATAGCGCACTCTCGTGATCCTTACATATGCTTTGTACACAGAATGAAAACCACATTGAATAAATGAATATGTGGATAAATAATCAAAACAGACAAATAAATATTAATAAATAAAACATCAGACATGAAAGACTTAAAGATTGAGCAGAGGGGCGGAGCACTCATGAATACCTCTCTTTTGTTCAATAGGCTATGCAGCTCATTTGCATATGGGGATTCTAAACCACAGAGGCTGTGTCTCATTGGTCAGATGTTCCTGTCGCTCAATAAATGCTAAACCTGTTTTGTTTTGTTTTTTGTTCTAAACCTCAGTTTCCATTGTACCCGACTGGCAAAAAAACAACATTTAAAATACCGTTAACAAAGTCTTTTAGATGGAAGCTTATACTGAGCTCTAATATAGATATAGATTTACTCTGCTTCCTGTTCTTCTAATGCGGGTCCATCTAACCCAGTAAAAATAGCCTCTGAGATACACACTCGCACACATACGTACTCTGGTTCGCAGGCATCCAAATGTTCACGTTCAGACATACACATACAAATTGTAAATCAACTGTCACACCAGGTTCAGAAACAACAGCTGATATTGGTATGTAGAAACAGTCAAATACAATCTAGGGTTTGTGACTGAAACTTTTCCGAATATGCCCCCAAATTTTTTTTTTCACCTAAATATCTTATATTCTATTCATCTAGTCGTCTGATATCTATTACATCTTCCAGATAAAATATAACCAACACTACATTATGGCTGCTGTCAATCAACCCACAATTCACCAGTGCGCCCCTGAGGCACAGTGCATTCCCCTTCCATCCACGTCAAGCGCTTCCTGTCTGGGAATGTTGAAGGTCAAACATTACCAACAATGTAATGGGTTATATTACATAAAAATTGTGCCAGGATTTATCCCGTTTGTATGTAAAATCCTTCTCTTTCTGTCTCTCTGTCTCTCTCTCGCTGTCTCTTGGCAGACAGTTAGATTACCTGGCACCGTGGTGCTCCAGGGCAGGACCGAACGAGGGCCGGAGAGAGCGAAAGAAAGAGAGAGGGATAGACTGGCGTGGTGTTTAGGACACAAACTTTAAAACATCTTTATTTTCGATTTCTGTTGCAGTACAAGAACTGTTTTTCATAGTATTTGATACTTTTTTGTTGCTTTTGTTCTTCTATGTACAGGAGACGAGTAGAGTAAGACTTGCTTTTGCTTTCATGTGGTTCGTATATGTACAGAGGTCGGACTCGAAGAATGGCTGGAGCGGTAGCAAAAAAAATCTTCTAGCCACAATAACACAGGTGATACAGCACGTCCACCTACAACATCCATCAGTGATTCGGAGAGCAGGTTCAGTCCTTAATCCACCCCCCCATCTGTGGATCAGAGACGAAACCCTACAGAGTTTAATTCACAAGAGGTCCCATGGCCGAGAGGCTTCAAACGACCCAGCTGACGATGGGTTGTGTCCTAACGTTCCCCCCCTCGTTCCCAGTCTCTGTGGTTGTTCTATACAGAAGAGTCAGTTCAGAGAGAGAAATAAAGGCAACTCCATTGAGGCAGCTTCCCGCTACCTGTGTCTGAACAATAGTCCTTGTTTTCCTTTTTCATGAGCATATGTTCACACTCTTGATGTTCAGTAACAAGCACTTCTGTGAGTGTGTGCATGTGTATAGATTCCAGTTTGTGTCCTGGCTCAAAAACAGTTATTTTTGGCAACACTGAAGAGCATTCAGAGAGATTTTTGTCACTTGCAGTATATTGGCATAACCCCACATCCTCGCGTAACAGCTCTCATCAAATAATGATGGAGAAAGACAGAGAAAGGAAAGCGAAGGTAAGGAGTTAGGCAAAAATAACATTGTAAAGATATGACTTGAAATAAAACACAGAAATAGAAGCCCGGTGTGAAGTTTGATGATATTTTTGGAGCAGAGTGAGCTGAAGGCAGAGACATCCATTGAGAGAAGGCAAATAGTTGGACTCGCTCTTTCTCTATGTGTGTGCGTGAGGAGGGACGAGAAAATGATGTTGATGAGAAAGCAGAGTGGTTACACAGCACTTCAGAGAGCCTGCTGCCATGGAGACAAACCTCTCTGTCACTCTCCCTGTTTAGGCTTTCCTTACCTCTTACTTCAAAACAAATGAAAGAGCAAAAAGGCAACCAGACATAAGGAGGGCGTCAGAGACAGGAGAGGAGTCCATCAACGCCATCGGCACTTTGCATCAGACCCTGTGGTGCTCTTTCTCCTCCACCTCTTTCTCGTGGTCACAGGCTTGTGACCAGCTGCATCTGTCCATCTCCCTCACTGTGAGGGGGCTCAGGGGCGGGGTGGGCTTCAGTGCTCGGTCTCCTAGGTGGAGCCTGGTAGAAGGTCTGCATGGGGGCTCCGCGGGAGCCTATGGCGGGCCGACCCGAGCTGTAGTACAGCTCCTCCGGAGGCTGGGCCGAGCGTGGAACCACTTCTAGCGGCTCTGGGCTGCTTTCGGGGTAGGGCAAATCTTGCAGGTTGGTGATGCTGGTGTAGAGGGAGTCCCGCGCAGGCGAATCGGGGGCTCCGTTGTGACCCTGGCCTGCTGCGCTTTGGCCGCTGTGGCCCAAACTCTCGGTCAGGTCGGCCGTGTAGCTTTCGGACTCGTCGGGGTCGCTCTGGTAGAGCACGGACTGGGCACGCTGCAGGAGCAGGGGCTCCTCCAGAGCCTTGTAAAGGAGTTCCATGTCTTGCGGCGTGCGCTGACGCGGTTCTCTAGAACGAAAGTCTTCGTCGTCCTCTATGCCTATCGCTGGCTCCGCACCGCCTCTGCCCCGCCCCATTCCCATGTGCCCATGTCCTCTGACCAGGCTGCCACATGTTCTGTCAGCGCCCCCAGCCCCTCCACCGCCTCGTAGATTATTGTGCACAAGTTCTGATATGATCATCTTCTCGAACGCCGCTGCGTCCGAGAGGTTTCTCCGTATGCTGCCGAGAGTTTCTGAACTGCGGGGGTTGAGCAGGGGAGGGGGGCTATCTCCACCTCCGCCTCCCAGGAAGTCACAGCTGCCCCCGGGAGCTCCCGAACCCCCGACACTACGCAGAGAATAGCTGTTGTTGAAGTTCCCGTTCAGAGGTAGCGTCTCCATGCCTCCGTGATCTCGGTTCTTAGACAGTGTGCTCTCTGTTGAGAGAGCAAATGAGAGGTGGTAAGCAAATGAAAAAGGAGGAGGGAGAAGTGAGCACTTCATTACCTATTGTAATCAAGACGGGGATTCACAGCAACAGAATCCGGGATTAAATCAATAATGGGGAACGCAACTTCCATCACAAGATTAATAGGCTTATGGACAGAGGCAAGTTATTACCAGGGACGTAATTGTGTACATAGAAGCACAGGCTTCACTGCACACGTGAAGAGGTTATCATTCTGCAAAATTAGCCTATAAAACACTGAAAATAGCCATAAGCCTGAAAGTGGAAAGAGTCTTACTTGGGTCACGGAAAGTTCCTGTGGATCCATGGTTAGGCCATGTGAGGACAAAGTGAGACAAAAGAAAGACAACAACAGTGATCAATGATATGCTTCTACCTTGGGCTTTACATGAAAACACCTTATTTTTCTTGAACATCGGCATAAACAAATGCCACACTTAGGAACTCTATTGTTAAAATAATGTAATAGCCATAAAGAGACAACAATGGACATCAATGGCGAGAGAGAAAAAAAATTCCACATAGCAGTGCCTCACTTTTAAGTTTAGGAGCGGAACCTCATTCACAATAACGCACTGATTTCAAAATGTTGTTAGCTATTCTATCAGCTATAATCAAATGTAGTTAACTACACTATAATGAATTACTTAAAGTGACAGTTCACCCAAAATGACTATACTATCATGATTTACTCTCACTCATGTTGTTCCAAACCTGTCTGCCATTTAAAACAAAAAGTGACTTGAAATAGTCATAAAGGTTTGGAATAACATGAGAGTTTCATTTTCTTGAGTGGATATTTCTATAATATTTCTATAAACAAAATAAAACTATCAAATTAAATAATTTATCATTTAATCAGTATTATTTTGCGGGGGGTTTGAATGAATATCTCAATTTGGGTAAATTTATACTAAATACAACTTTTTTTGTAATATATTTTCTTAGAATTTACTTTTTTAGACTTCACTAGAATACACGCGAGAGAGAGAGAGAGAGAGAGAGAGAGGACAATTTATGTGAGTGAGTTTTTACTATTCCCTCAGCTTTCCCTCTGAGGTTTACATTAAAAACTGTGACGTCTACTCACTAGATAAAGTATGAAAACAGTGGAACTACTATCGTATAGTTTTGGATCAGTGTCTCATTCTGTGGACTGAGGAGTTTCAGATCAGTATCTCGCTCTTTTAGTCTTAGGAGTTGGGATCTTAGGAACAGCCCTTCATTCTTTGGTTTGGGAAGTTTAGAAACAGAGCTTTATTGTTTGGCTTTGGCACAATCATTATTCGGCGAGAAGTTATTCACACTTCAGTCTCATAAAGTCAAGACAATGTTTATTTCACGCGCCCCTTCACACGCCAGAGATGTTGTGATATTCTTTTAACTCGTCGGCGTGTATTGAACACAGGAGATGCATGTGGCGGCGCAGACCAAGGCGTGCGGGGGTTTAAATATTAATGCCCGGTATGATTTTAATCAACGCTCCTCTGTGCAGAGAGAGAGTAATTAGACATTCTAATGAGACCCTCCTCCTACTTCCTCTCCATAAGCATTCTAAAAATGTCCTCTCAGCCGAGCAGCGCACCATCAGCCTGACACATTACACAGAGAGGGAACGTTTAAAATATTCAACAGAGACGCTGTCTTAAATTTCACCCCACTGACATGGGAATCGCAGCTATCTTTCTCTCTCTTGCTGCCTCTCAATCGGCACACGAATGCGAACGGTACAGCAAGAGAGTGAAGCCTGGGCCGTATGTGTGTGCAGCACGGACACAGCCATGCCGATACTCTGTGTCGAATCTTCAGGGAATGCTCCGCTGTCAGTCACTCAACTTCAGCCCTAGCTTTAATCGATGCTCTGGTCTGTCTTTCCAGCAGGAGGGATTAAAACGCTGGCCAGATGGTCAGCCCCTGTCTACCCCTCTGAATCACACTGACAGACCGACAGGGTGTAAACTCACATGCACAGACCTACACACACACAGCATATGCACTAGAGTGCACTGATCGCAGCACAGGGATACCATCAGTGACACTCACACACTGTGGCAGAAACTGCATGTACAATAATGATAATAAAAAGAAAACCTTCCAGAGGAATCTTTTATCACTCAGAGGACGCTCATTCATAGCTAAAAAGTTAAGAAAAGCTTCTTTTGCATATCAGCTTTGTCTCAGGCTCTTAAGCTACGAAAGTCTTTTACGAAGCCTACGAAATAGCTACCTTTGATCAATAAATTACGACTTTAGGTTGCATTTTGGCAAATTTGAGCACAGTTTGAGATTCAAACAGTTCTGAAACTCTACGTGATAAACAATTAAGTTAATAAAGCAATCTCATTTTTGATTTTTCTTTCCAATACAAAATATGGTCCCCCTACACTTACCAGTAGAGTTGAAGACCCCAGGCGAGGGAGGGGTAAACGTCTCAGCCAGCAGCGTGTTGTAGGGTGAACTTCCTGTACGGGTTTGCAGCACGGGGTTGGTTAGAAGATGGTTCCCCATTGTACCTAAAAAGGAAAAAGAAAATTCTTCACATAAACGTCATTATATTTTGTGACTCTGACTTTCAAATTCCTAGTCTATAAATGTTATTTAAACAGCGAGGAACTAAAGGCCATGTTACAGGTATGTTGTGAATATACATACAGCTAAGAAGTGTTGTTAGACCAACACAATCTCATGGAAATTTTTAACTATTTTACAATTTTGCAAATGTTTACCTTTGTAGCTAATTCGTATTAACCAATATGTATTCTTGGTCACACTTTAGTTTGGGGACCAATTCTCACTATTAACTAACTATTAACTATGACTGTTACCTCAATAAACTCATAATTTGCTGCTTATTAATAGTTAGTAAGGTAGTTGTTAAGTTTAGGTATGGGATAGAATTAAGGGATCTAAAATATGGTCATGCAGAATCAAGCATTAATATGTGCTTTATAAGCTCTAATAAACAGCCAATATGCCAGTAATATACATGAGCAATATCACTCTCGTACTCGAGCGATACCGGCTCTATATCAGCATGATATTGCGTTTATACAACAGTTCGACGGAACATGTGTGTAATTAAACAAGAAACAACGAGGTGCCTAATAAATCCCTCTTTTGTGCGGAACTACTTCCTTCCGCCACGGATTCAAAGCTCAAGTTGACAGTTAAACATACGTCACTTTTAGAATTCGTATCAAGGGCATGTGCTGCTTCAGTTATTAGTGAGAAATAATGAGGTTATAAGAGAGAAACAATGCGGCAAGACGTGCATCCAAATGAGAGAGAGAGAGACCGCGAAGCTAGACGTTTCTTCTTATATTAACTAACGTACTCTACGATTAGCTCAGTGAATAATAAATAAATAAAAAAACATAGTCCCGGCTAGAACAAGCGGAGTGATACAAAATTGTGAAAGGGCGTTCCTGTAGTGATACCAGTACAATATCTCACTGCTCTCAACCAATCAGATTTGAGAACCAGAACGAACTGTTGTATAAATGCTAATAAGCAACTAGTTAATAGTAAGAATTGGTCTTCAAAATAAAGCGTTACCATATTCTTATAATCTAAATTGTACAGTTTCATATGATCTGCTTATGCTCCAGTGGACCCTATGCTTACTTGTTTTCTAAAAATTGGAACGTTAGTTTTTAACAAAATTTTTGTTCAGAAAAGTGACATACATCTGTAAAATAAGATTAATTGCCTGGTTTACAGTGAAATAAAAAGCTGTTTCGCATCAAGCCTGCAACTCTATTGTGTATTTGGTAATATTTTAATAAAGGGACCAATTCTCACTATTAACTAGTTGCTTATTAGCATGCCTATTATTAACATATTGGCTGTTTATTAGTACTTATAAAGCATTTATTCTGCATGACCATATTCTACATCCCTAATCCTACCCAATACCTAAACTTAACAACTGCCTTACTATCTATTAATAAGTAGCAAATTAAGAGTTTATTGAGGCAAAAGTCATAGTTACTGGTTTGTTAATAGTGAGAATTGGACCCTAAAATAAAGTGTGACCGTGTATTTTACCGTGGTTAAAACATTATTGACCACGAGCATACAGGAACTATCAGTTTTAAGAGGAATAATACATCATATGAACACGGATTGGCTACTTGCACTTCACAATAAGGTTAAGCAGAATCTACTCTACAGTGTGTTTATTGTGTTTGACATTTCACAAAAAAAAAAAAATCCCTAATGTCGTTGTGTGGTGTCGTAATGGCTGATTTGATGAAGTGTTTATTTGCAGCGAAGCCGAAATGTATTTGAAGAGTAGTCGTGGAGCGTAATTCCATGCCTCACTGTCAGATGGAGTCATTGGGAGGGAAATGGTAATATTTGCTATTATGTAGTTCCACAGAGCAGCCACTGAAATGTGGGTTCATTTCCCAGTGAAATGTGAACGCTTGCAGTAGACAAATGTGACTCAGAGAAATGGAACATTCAGTATGGCCCATAATGCAGGCGCAGAGCTGCAGCCTGGGGCTTTCAGACAGAAATGGCATGAAATTAAAAAGAGGCCAGTATGACATCGAGTGGACTGAGGCAAAGTGCAACCTTGTGCTCTCGTGCTATCATCTATCAGAGAGGACCGCCTCAAGAATTAATTTTAGACGTGCACTCGCTCACGCTCGCCACACATACTACACGCACTTCTTACCTCTTGCAGGAATGTTCCAAGTTTAATAAAAGTAAAGCTGTGCCAGCAGCATTTGTGGCATAAAATTGATTATCACAGAAAATAATTCCAGCTCATTCCTCATTACAGTCAGACACAATGTAGTAAACACACTGTTAAGCACACCAACAAGAATTAAACATGAGACTAGTGTGACCTATTCAATCTGTCAACTTTGCTGTCACGACCATGTAATGACGCTAAAGCCCCACAGTGCCGTTTAAGCTAAATAAAAGATGAACTAAACATCATCTGACATGAGAAAACCTGTTAAGTTTGTGTAATATGCAATACAGATACCAGATCTGTGAGCACTGTTTTACATGGCGCAAACTCCGCCCACAGAAATTATGTCCGTAGCGCATAACCAAATGTTCATCCACCTAGAAAAGTAGTCCCGCCTGAATAAGAAAGATTTCACTTAATGAATAATGCAAGTGCTTTATAGGAATGGTTCACCCAAAAATGAAAATGTGCTGACAATGTACCTAAGACGTAGATGAGTTAAGAGAGACATTTGGAGAAATGTAACATTATATCACTTGCTCACCAATGAATCCTCTGCAGTGAATGGGTGCCGTCAGAATGAGAGTCCAAACAGCTGATTAAAACATCACAGTAATCTTGAAGTAATCCACTAATCTCCAGTCCATAAATTATTGTCATGTGAAGTGAAAAGCTGCGTGTTTGGACTCTATAAAAATGATTTTTCAAAGTTGTAAATAATACAATAGGAGTACAATTTCAGTCTTTCTACTTCAGAATTTTACTTTCAATTCATTTTTTACCTGCCATTTCTTTGTAATTAATTGCGAAATTCACAAGCAATTTCAGAGCAAACATTTTTTTTGTATTTATTTATTCATTTCATTTTATTTTTTTTGTGTGAAAGAAACAACTCTTTAAACTGTCACTTCTGGCCAAAATACGATTCCATAATTCATAATAAAGCTTTTTCCAGTAAAAATGTTAAAAAAATAAAAGTCAAAAAAGTTAATCTCATATTGTCCTCCACCAACATATTTGTTCTGAATTGCTTTTCAAGTGCTTGATCTGTGCATATTTCTCTCCTGATTCAGATGACAATTTTTTTCACTAGAGAAAGCAATATTTTGGATAGAGTACTTGTATTTTTAGCCAGAAGCAACGGTTTGAAGTTAAACATGTTTTAATGGCGAATTAATTTATTACAAACATGCAATTGATGGACTGGAGTCATGGGGATTACTTGTGGATTATTGTAATGTTTTTATCAGCCGTTTGGACTCTGACGGCACCCATTCACTGCAGAGGATCCACTGGTGAGCAAGAGATGTAATGCTAAATTTCTCAAGGGATGTAAATGCTAAATCTCTTTCGATGGCGAAAAAACAACAACAACAACAAAAAAAGGTATCTACATCTCGGATGGCCTGAGGTTGAGTAATATTTCATTATTGGGGAACATTTCACATGTTTTCAGATTTCTTCTGTTAAACCCTTCAGATTGATGGTACCAATAGTTTCTAAAAAAAGAGAGGACAGAGTCAAAATTATGTTCCGTGTTAATCAACATTAAACCACAAATGCTGTCGATAAAGCTTCACTTGTATTGAACCTTTCAACATTCCTTTAATTCCTGTAAATATTTCACTGGAGTGTCGTGTGTAAAATGTGAGGGGGAATCTAGGCCAGCGGGAGGGAGGTGGAGGTACGACGGCAGTTCTTGGAAGCACAGAAAAGACTTCACACGGCGGTGAAGTGGGAAATGAGAGCGATAGGAGATGAATCTGATAAAGACAGCGGTGTGCACATACACACGCCCTTTCATTACCCTCCATCTCTACTTCTGACTGCCATTCACTCTTGTAACATCCAGAAACTTTTCTCCCGCGGCACAAAACCCTGCCGTTTCCTCTCCCCGGAATCTATTCTTCTCTTTTTTTTGCCGCTATATGGTTTAGATTTGCCTTTCTGTCTCGTACTTTCTCTTCTCTCTCGCCTTGATTAAAGTCCCCGGAAAGCAACAATCGGCGCACTGCAGTGAGGACGCTACTGTCATTCTCCTCAATTAGAGTAATTACCCCCCGTTCATTCGGTGGCTAATCACTTCATTAAAAACAAAATGGATAGAATTAGCATAAAGAGTGGCGGTTGATTTAGCTGCGGCTTCTCTGTCGTCGCCCCCCTCTCCTCCCACAAACATTGATCCCTGGGATGATCAGAACGGTGGTGACGCCACACTCCGGATCCGGTGATGGAAACAGCCTGCCTCTCGCATTCTCTCTCTATTAACTATCACTTAGTCTCCCCTTACAGTCCAAGTGCTGAACATATTAAAAAAGGTCAGATCATGAAGAACCAAATGTCTGTTTGAAAGTTCAGTGTATTATGAACACATGCCTTTTTCTTAAGTCAAAAATGCATTTAAAAAAAGCAAATCTGCAAAAAAAAAAAAGAGTTGTTTTTAGTGACACACTAAAAATTAAATATTTTTTTTTAACTGAAATAAACACAACTCAAAAATGTTCCCTTGGCACTTAACTAAAATATAATCAGTTTAAGTTGAAGTACTAAAATGATCATAACTAAAATTGAAATAAAAATAAATTAAAGCTAATAATATAAATATATATATAAATAAATACTAATTAAAATGACAAAAGCACATGACAAAATTACTAAAACTTAAATTAAAATGAAAGCTAAAAGTATAAAAAATATAAACTATTTCAAAATATTACTCAATGCTATAATAGTACATACATAATACTAATACACTAATGCAATGGTCTATACAATCATGTTCATGTAATGAGGAAGTAAAGATTTTAATTAAACTAATTTAAATATGGGAAAATCAGTTAAAATGACTAAAATGCATTTCAGCATAGATTATTAGTGAATATGTATTCATGTAATGTAGGCTTTGAAAAGAAGCTGTTAATGAAAAAATATAGGCAGAAAAAAATACAATTGATCACGACATCAAAACCCGCAGACTGTTTTTGAGCACAGTTTCTCATCTCACATGTGAAAAGGGTAAAAAATAGCCCATTTCATTCTAAGGTCCAAAGAGATAGAAGAAAATAGTAATGAAAAACTAAATCTGCTGCACAGAAAAAAAACATTACTAATATTATAAGAGAACCCAAAAACTGTATATATACCAAGATGGTTTACTCGTATTAATATGAATGGGAGAAAGTGCAACATGCAATATGGTGAAATTAGTCCCGCCTTATAAATATAAGTGCCAATGGCCGATCGGTAAAGTCACAGAAGCTTTGTTTCCCACAGAGACAGTCATTGTCCTTGACATTTCACATGTGCACTGGCTGGACCGAACTGGAATGCAAGAAACTACATTTATGGGACAGCTTTTACTGCTAATGCTAAAATGTTTAAATGTGAATTGAGCCAGCAGTTTTTGAGAATTCGCCATTTCAAGTAAATATGACTTGTTAGTATTGCATGCCTAAAATAGTTGATAATATGGCCACTGAGTGAACTGATTTTTTGAACGGGACTTCAGTTGAAAAAATGGCCATTTTCTACACAGACACATAGGTGAAGATGGACTCTGGTGCATGCTGGGAAATTTTAAGGCAGAAGGAGGGTCTCACCACGGTTGAGAGTGGGAGTGCTGTTGATGTCTCCAGCCATGAAAGACGACTCTGTCTGCTTTCGCACCGTGTCGTTCCACATACGACGAATTCGACTCTGAAACAGGTGAGCGGGGTGAATTGGTATATGGAATATAACAGCAGTCTATAAATAGCGATGCTGTCGGTGTGCATGTATGTCACCTGTCTGTGTACCGCTGCATGACGTGCCTGGCTGCCAGTGTAGTAGCGGTTGTTGGCACGAAGGGCAGAATTCTTCAGCGATCCATGAGAGCTCGTAGTGGAGGTGCGACTGCAGCAGTAAGAATGACGCAGGCACTTGCTGTACTCCTTATGCACCTAAAACACAAAAAACACATAGCTGTAGCGTCTGGACCAATCAAACACACAATATATATTTTGTTAGCTATATTTAACAAATACTCTGTAACCCCCCTCAGTTAACAAGCCATACGAGGACCTATGGACCCTTCCCCCGAAATGCGTCTTAACACCTCAGAAAGACACCAGGTTCCATGGCAACCACGGCTGATAACACTGGTTTTATTGCTCAAAGGAATGCAAGAGAGAGACTCTCACTGCATTTTCCATAGGAAGAGACACACTGCACAGTAGAAATGGACTTTTCTACTAATTAATTAATAGGAAAACCTTTCTTTGAATGAACACACATATCCTTCAGGTCATTATGTATGTTGTCTTTGATATTTTTAGACAATTTTATGCATGCTTATGATATAACCACTCATTCATGTAACCTTACATATACCATGTTTATTATCTATGAATTCGCCTTCTGATGATCTAAACGAG